AACTAACTATATAGTCAGGGAGACATTTCTGAAAAATGCACGTCTAACGGCGTTTTGTGCTACAAACTGGCAACAGGCGGTTCTAGACTAATTGGTCCCCGCTGAAAACGATGCGCCCTGTTGCCAGATCCGATTTTGGCATTTAAGCCCTTAAAGCGAAGATAGCGGGCGAAATGACCGTTTTTCGGTTATTTCGAGCCCACAAGGCACGCCACTGAATGTTTTGGGTAGTTTAAGGGTAGAATACCATCTAGTACACACGTGGACATCGTTTAGGCACACTTTCGTATTCATATTAGGGGCCTAAATGCCAAAACTCCGTTTAAAAACGTAAAAAATGCAAAAATTCGTCATTTTTTTTTCTGGCCGGTTGTCGGCGTCCAATATGTATTCATATGGTAGAGTTAACATTTAAGTATTTGGGGACCTCCAGCAGCGCCATATGCCTGGGGCCTAAATATCAAGATGGCGCTTGGAAAGTCCAAAAAACAGTGAAAAAGTCGTTCTTTTTTCCGTTTCCGTTTACTACACTGGCCACACATTCCCCATTTCGATGGCCTGGAGCAATAATACGCGAATTGCGAATATCATTCTGGATGTTACACAACTGAAGGGCTTAACTGCGGAAGTGGGGACTTTCCCAAGTTTCCTTTTTGATTGTTTTTTAATTAAAAACGTAACACGTGCAGTCGAAACTGTTTAGGAATATTGAGCACTAATACTATGAAGAAGGTTATTATGGCAAAGAATAGAACGTTACAGAGTTTAAGTTGTCTCTTGAAGCATGACGTTTGTCTCTCGTGGATTGTTTTTGGCATATTACACATAGGATACTGTTAAAATCACCACCAGAGGTGATTCATGCTGCATGGCCAGGCGAAAACTGAAACAGTCAAATTGGAGTCATCCACCGCGAAAGGGAAGACATGAGCACCATTCTTGAATAGAGCATTCTTCATGCGTTAGAATGTAATTGATATCATGTTAAATTAGTATGACGAAGCTTAATGTTAATGTAAATCTTAGAGTGAGAGTCGTTAAATCCCAGGTTATTAATCCAAAAAGACACATTTCCCAAACTTATTTTAATTCTCGTTTTAATGAACAAATTGTAAAAGCCGCGACTAGTTTCGAACCAACGGTCATCTTTCTGGCTAGGGAAATTTACAGAATAAAACTTGTTAAATGTTAGTATACAATGCAAATTTGAAAGGCAGCATGGGGAAAACGATGATAATTATACAATAAAACATTAAAAAAATATTCTTCATTGAATGTTAATCTTAGTTCCATGATGTAAAATTAATTGACTTTTAATATTTAAATGGAAATATGGGCATTAGGTGGAAGACGCTATCGAAGCGACACAGACGACTTCAGGAGCGGCGCCGACGAAGATGCACAACAACACGCGCAGTGCACTGATTTGACAGTTTCGCGAATCCGTTCGGTGGATGAATAATTCCACCCCCTTCTTTCGTGGGGTGACAGTTCGCAATTACTGATAATGAATGTTTCGAGAACACCAAGATGAACAGCGAACGTAAAGACGTGGCCAGTGTAGTAAAATTACGGCAAATAGGAACGACTTTTTTCACTGTTTTTGACTTTCCAGGCGCCTATCTTGATATTTAGGCCCCAGGCAATATGGCGCTGCTGTAGGTTCCCCACATACTTAAATGTTAACTTGACATATGAATGCATATTGGGACGCCGACAACCGGTCAGAAAGAAAAAAAAGTGTATGAATGCTATGCTTTGACGTTTTTTAAGCGGAGTTTTGGGCATTTAGGCCCCTAATATGAATTTACCAAGTGCCTAAACGGTTTCGTTCGTGTTGGATAGATGTTTTCTACCCCTAACTACCCAAACGTTCAGTTGGCTTGCCTTTGTGGATCAATATAATCGAAAAAAACGGCAATTTTTTGACCGCCATCTTAAGATTTAAGGGCTTAAGATGTCAAAATTGGTTCTGGCAACAATGGCGCATCGTTTTCAGCGGGGGCAAATTAGTCTAGCTAGGAACCGGCCTTGTTGCCAGTTTGTAGCACATAAACAATTGGTACTTTGTATGTACTTGTGTTTTTTTGTTTTTGACAAAGTCGTGCATTTTTAAACAAAATCGCTCACATCCTTCTAAGAACCTGGCCCAAAGCTAATTATTTTTGTATATTATTTTTCATTCGCTTGCACTCAGCATGTTCCACTTGTAGGAAGTAAATGAAAATCGTTTATATGCATTTTTTTGTATCGTTATTTATGATTCTAAGTACACCCCTAATTATTACGTATGAGAGGACCGGTCCAATTTTTTTTATTGTCAATTACGCTTTTTAGCAATTTTATAAAATCAACATTTTCCTCGTTTCTAATGATAGCTATCTCTTTAATATTCATTTCCTTTCAAAATTCTATTAATTCTCTCAACAATACGTCTCGCGTGCTTGTCGATCGAGATTTTTGTAATACATAAATTGTTGATATTTCCGGAACATAACATAAATTTTTACTACTTGAATACAAGGTAGTTTTATCTCCCACTTGAAATTTATTTGCATTTACAAGAACTAATTCTGTGCTTTCTTTTGGAATTTTAAAACTTCCGCAATATTCGGTTGATCAGGCCGATTTGCTGAATCTCCTAACTTATTATCGTCTTGATTTGCATTGTTATTTTGCAGCACTTTACTTTTAGCGCGTGTTAACACTGTAATTAACTGAGCGTGCATATTTTTAAGTTCATCCGAGGTTATTATAATACGTGATAATGCGTCCGCACTTACATTATTACTTCCTTTTACGTATTCAATTCGAAAATCAAATTCCTCAAGGTGTAATCTAAATTTTGTCAAACGACTAGATGGACTAGTATGATTAAATAAGTAAATTAACGGTTTGTGATCTGTCAAAATTTTAAATCTTCTTCCAAACAAATAAGGTCTAAAATACTTTATAGCCCACACAACAGCTAATAATTCTTTTTCTGTCGTAGGGTACAATATTTCACTTTTATTGAGAGGGCGGCTAATGTAAGCTACTGCTTTTTCATTATTATTTAATAAAACTGCACCGATTGCTAAACCCGAAGCATCGGTTTGTAATATAAATTCGTTTTCGTCTGAGAAATCTGGATAATCTAGTACAGGTGGAGTTATTAATGAATTTCTTAAATAATCAAAGGATTGCTGACACTCATTGGACCACTCAAAATGAGAATACTTTCGACATAATTTGTTTAATGGCAGCGCTATGCTTGCAAAATTTGGTACATATTTCCGGTAATAGTTGGCGAATGCAACAAACCTTTTTACTTCGATTGAATTCTTTGGAATGGGATATTCCTGTAGTGTTTTAATTTTTTCTGGATCGGGTAAAATACCATTTGCGGATATAACGTGACCTAAGTATAATATTTCTTTTCTTAAAAATTACATTTGGAAGGATTTAATTTTAAATTAACATTCCTATCTAACACTTTAAGTAAATTTTTATTATGATCTTGTAAATTTCTACCAAAAATTCTTAAATCGTCTAAATATACAAAACATCGCTCATAATTTAACCCCGAATTTTGGGTTACCACCACAAAAGGACTGCAGTGCTCATGTTTTCCAGAAGGGAAGGAAGCTACTGCAAGCGATTTACGTATTCAACGTAAGAAGATACTGGAGATCCAGAAAGCTATACAAGATCGTTTCAGAAAGGAATATCTTTCGATTCTTGTCTCAACAAAACATATAAAAGGCAAAGAAAATTTGAAAGTGGGAACGCTAGTACTTGTTGGGGATAATATAAAGGAAAGGTTCGAATAGCTACTTGGAAAAATTTTCCCAAGTCATGTCGACGGAGTTGTACGAGCGGCTGAAGTGAAAACGAAAAATGGATTATTAAAGCGTCCTGTTGAGCGTCTTGACCCGCTAGAGATGTCTGAAGAAGTGAGATCTAAGTTCAAACCAGAAGTGAGTCACATCGCATTTGATTCAGTCAATTTTAGGTTTGAATGAAGTATCAAAAGAAGCTGCTGAAGAGGAGGAATCCGTTATTACACGTCATGGACGAAAGCCGAATCGTTACGGGCAGTGGAATCGGTAATTCGGTAATAAATGTATTTATAGTAATGTAATTTTCTAGTATAAAATTAGCGGGAGTTTGTAGAATGTATAGACAGATAGAAATTGTGAACGTCTTGTCACGTCATATTAGATTGAAATCTTATAAAATAAACTTTTAAAGATTTTAAAGTCTCGTCATAGTTTGTCTGGCAATCACTATTAGATAAGTTTAAGAACAAATTAACGTAGTCGCGATAGTGGTTTTTATCTCGTTACGTAACTTAACCATAAATAAGTTTTGACACTTAGAATGGCGCTTAAATTAAACGTTTTTTTAGAGGAAGCTTTTACTCCTGGTCCATTATTACTAGCGATTTTATACCGCTAGATTTTTTGGCTATACTGTTAAATAAACTTTCACTGACAACGAAAGTGAAAGTCAGTTGGCGCACCTGTGAATGCCCATAAGGGCGTAAAACAGCGCATAATTTGCGCCCAATTATGCATTCGATTAAATCAATTCAGTCAACCTCAGTGAAAAAATAGAAGTAAAAATACTTACTTAAAAACAAACTGCAATATTTTTTAATCTTTCACTGTTTAATTGTGGCAATTCCTACAAAGTTTGGAGATTGTATTGCAGTTATCAGTATTGCATCATCACCAACCGAAATGGTTATCTTCTGGGACCGCACCAATTTTGTGAAACGTATGAGCTGTCACTCAGCTAAACCACTTCTTCAGCCGTTAACCGTCTATAACTGTGATGGTCTCAGTGGGAGGCAGCCCAAAATCCACCCACCTGCTCTTGCACTGGTATAGGGTCGTTTACACCTTGAGAGATAAATGAAAAACTGAAAAAATATACTTAACTAACCATCATTAACAGTGTGCCCTACTCTTCCGAATTTTTCTACACTAAACTTTTTGAAAATGTTTTCTTCGCAGATTTTCTGCGGCGATCCGACGCTGGCATGGTTTCGATGGAACATTTTTACTCGGTGGGGACAGGAATATGATCCGACAAAGGTGTTGTACTCTCGACCGAGTTTGACCGTTTTTGTTTGGATTTTGCGCGCACGCTTTAGCAAAAAAAAAGAAACAAACACCGCGACTTTTGGAACCCCTCGGTAGTAGAAATGCATAGACGCCCAAAGCTTTTGTTTGGTTACCTATTCCTTTCTGGGTTACCTTTCTGAATCTCGCCCCACCCTCTTAAAACCATAAACTTTAGATGAGAAACGTAGTAACTAACAGGAATGAATATGACCAACCTATATTTGCTAAAATTACTAGTTTGATGTAAAAAAAAAGAAAGATTTTAGTGGTAGTGCACGACAATTAGTCTATGCAGCTTCTAATTTCCTTCAGCTTGACGAGGAAATGGGCGCTGATCGCGTTGGGGTAACGTACCGACCGAAGGAGGGTACCAATTGTCTTGGATGTACTGAGAAACGTAACTCGATGGTGAGTTCTAACCTTTGCTTGTTGCAGCTTGTATGCGTTAATATCATTTTTCTTCAATTTACTCGATTATAGTTTGACTTTATTATTTCATGACCGAACGCGTTAAAGGTCGACTTGTGTTCATTTGTCCTATGTTAACAGTACTCGGTGAGTATGGCCGACGAGGCGAGAGATAATCACGAGCAACAGATCGAGCGAGCGGAAATTGCGAACCTGGTCAGATCGCGCATGGAAAGTCTTAATCTACCACCGATGGATTACAACGATGTCAGTGAGAAACGGAACAGCCTATCTTACGTTATCATAAACCCCAGCTGCGATTTGAAGTTAGAAGAAGGAGACATCATGTAAGTTTTCCATTCTACCTTCTCTTTTCCTTGTTGTAACTATACTGGCGTGTCGTCGTCTACTTTTTCATTTTCCTTACCCTCTTCGTCTATTTCTTTTCTGATTTTACTCATCCTTTCTACCTCTTTTTATCTACCAAATGATCTTTCTCACCACATAATCTGCGCTACCTTTTTTCTCGCAACCTGCTGTGATTTTAAATTGTTCTTTTCGATATTTCCACTCCAAATATACCTTATCAATAAAAGTAGATCAAAGTTTCAAAATCCAAAGTACATAACTTTGTCACTCTTATCACTCTGACCGGAGATAATTTTTCCGGCTACGGGTTCGCTACATTCCTCCCAATCCGCCCGCATATAATTCAGCAACAAATGAATACTCTTCATTGCACCTTTTTGATAAAGTTTCGTTTCAGATATTTAGTAAGACCGAGCCCATTCTCAGCGCAGAAAACATTCGAAAGGCACAACAGCCGAAGAAAGTCAAACATCAGCTTCTGCTCCCAGACGCTGCTGCAGCAGATGGCCGGATTGGGTAGTAGGCGAGGTTCCGGTCTCGGACTTACCTCATTCCAGCCGTCGAGACCGCCGCCGCTCGCCACCACGAAGTCCAACTCGCTCTCGTTGCCCGACAGTCCGACGGTCGCCGGCTATCAGCGCGGCAGATCGAACTCGTTACGTGTAATTGACGACATTCTGCTCAGGAGATCGAACTCTCTCCGACAGGGGTTGACGAATATAGGTGTTAGAAGAAAAAGTAGCCTGGAAGATATAGGACTTTCGCATTTTTCGTCCGCGCCGTACTATAGCAATTACAATAATCCAATCAAGATTGCTTTGAACGGTAGTATCGGGTTAGAGGTGACTCCGCCGGAGGAGAACAGTCCGCCGGTGATATCTACGAATACGGCTTTAGTTGTAAATCCGCCGCCACCGAGCGGATTGCTAAGTAAAACGGGCAGCACGATGAGTTTGTCCCAGGGCGTTCTGCCCGCGGTGCAACCTTTCAGTTTAGGCATTAACCCGCCGCCAAGCCCGCCCCCTTACGGCGAATCTGCATGCGCTCAACAGACGGGTTTACCGGTGCCGCCGGCCTCGACGGATCCGCAGCACCTTCAGGGAACCATAGTATGATATAACCTCATGTGGGGGAGGAGGCTGAGTGGCTTACGCAACAAGTGGCTCTAACTCTTCACTTCCACACAGATAGCTCTGCCACTTGAGCGAAGTGTGCCATTTGGGGCAGAGCTATTTAGCTGTAAATTTACCATATTTGGCCTTATAAAAAAAGTGTACATCAGAACTCTAGACTGATATTTAAATCTTTATATCTTTGTAACCAGACGAGAGAGTAGTGGAAAAAAAGATATTCTGTCGGTGACTCCCGTTTTGTTTTCAAATTTCAGGCCTTCTCGCATGAACTCGTGTCATTAGCTCAATAGTTATAGTTTTGACCGTTCCAAATTCTTCCATACTGGCCTGTACCAACAAAATAAAGAGATATTGTTCAGATGTTGAATGTGGGATCAAATATTGTAGATAATTTTAGTGTGCCCTTTACTTAGTAATGTAAAAAATTAATCTTTGGTGCTGGGTCGGAGCATTGACTAAGTGCATCCTACCATCGGGTGACTGTGTCCCAAATGTCTAAAAACTCGACCACGCAAATTCAAGATAACCAAATAGAATTTGTGCGCTACTTTTCATAAAAATAAGGATAAATCTTTTTTTTTCAATTCTTCACTGGTTAAGTTTGTGCCAAGAACAACCACACAGTCAGTCGAGTGGTAGGAATACCAAAAGCTTCGCCCAAACCAATCGCGCTATTTACAGAGTAGATACGTAACCTAAATTGAAGTACATAATTCGTGATACGGTTCCATTTTTTGGACCGCGCATTTTGATGTCAAAGCTTGGTATTCATGTTATTTATGACCCGTTTTGCGCAACTTTCCATTTTTGTACGTAAATAAAAAAAAAGGGATGCGTCGGTTTATAATAATCAAAATTGTTGAGAGAAAAAAGGCCAATTTAAGTAGTAGTCGCCGCTTTATGGGTAGCTTAGCGTAATACCGTCCATGCTGTTTTTAGTGTGTACATATCGAATCACGTGTATAGTTGTCACTATTTCTATACTGTAACCCCTCTAGCTAAAGACTGCAGTGGAGAGGTCCAAATGAAAACGCGCGGTTCACTTATTTTATATATATTTAAAAAGAACATATCCGAAAATAAGTGACTATAGTTACTATATTTTTCTAGGCAAAAAATAAAGTGGTTGAGATCGGATAGATATCTTCAAGACCAATGCTTTGGTACTATTGCTTTATTTAATCATGACATAGAGTATATAACGAGATGAGTATAGATTAAAGAGTTTATCAGTCAACAGATGCCATTTAGGTCAAACGGCTCGGTTTGTGCATGACTTGTTGCAATATGTTGTAAATATGTTGTTCATTGTTTTTGCTTAAAGATAATTAAATTATAGTAAAATAAATTATAGCCGTTATGATGTACATTGCTAATAAAGGCAACATGTATGATTTTTATAAAGTTGTTTTATTTCTTCATTTTTGTAACAGACTGTAACAGGGACGCCAACAGGCAATGTGAAGAACTTCATCCATTTAAGGGTATGAAGTGCTAACGTCACACGCACTCAACGTGTATTATTCTGCCTGTTCGATTGCGCGCAATTGATAGTTCTGCAGTAGACGCGCGGTTACGGTGTGACCGTTCATCTGCGCCAGTAGATAGGGGTACGGTTGTAGGTTGGGCGAGGCGCCTTTCTTCAGCAGCCATCGTACAAGGTTGGTATGCCCGAAGTTCGCTGCCAGATGAATCGGCGCGATGCCCTTGTCGTTGGTGGCGTTCACGTCGCAGCCGGCATAGTAGAGCGCGCGAATGCAGGTGGCGTCCTCTTTGTACGGGCACTCGATGTGATGGAACACCGCCAGGTAAAAGGGGGATTCGCCTTTCACCGATTTAACTGACACGTCACCCCCTGCAAATCAACAGATTTTTAAAACGTATGTTACTGGATGCGAGGTGCTCGTTACGAACCGAATTGAATCATGACGTTGACCAGTTGGGTCGAACCTTTCCGACTGGCGCGCTGAAAAGAAAATAGTTTTAAATGTATGCTCAATACGCTATAGAGACAAGCAATCAGAGCTGGGCAGAATACTTTAAAAAAAGTATTTGAATACTAAATAGTAAATACTTTACACAAATCAAAGGTATTTGAATACTAAATACTTTTACGTCCAGCACAAGCGAATACTAGATACCGATACATTGAAAAGTATTCAAATACTTTCAAAAGTATTCTAATAATATCAAAGGTATTCGAATACTTGTCACTCAAATATATTAAAAATTTAAAATAAAATTTCTTATAGAATGTGGCCTGTAGAATCCATAATTTCAAACAGTTCCAAGATGGGGCTACTAGTTTAAAAGTTACAGCGCTTTGAATTTTCTTTCGAAATTGGTTTCTAAGAAGTCCATAACTTTTGATTGAGAAGTCTAATCGAAAAAGTACGAATTGTCTTGGATTCTACGCACCAAAATTAATAAGAAAAAGTGTTTTCCCGAGAAATTTTGGTGTAGTCGATTTTTGGTAAAAAAGGAAGGTTATACACTGCCTTTTTTTGAAGCCCGCAAAAAAAATTGTCTCAAATCGATCCGGAAAAAAAATGTTCTTATAGAATGTGGCCTGAAGGATTTGAATACTAAAAAGTATTTACAAAATCGAATACTGCCCAGCTCTGCAAGCAATT